AGTCAGTAGACTGAATCAGTCTTCAGAATGTTTGAGACTTATAACCGAGATGCAAGTTCTGATTTCTAGGGGCAGGCTGTTTTATATTTTGGATTGCACAGTTGTGAAGAAGTTTTCGCGGGATGTTGATTTACTGGCTTTCATTGTCACTGTGCAAATTTGGTTACTTTTGTAATTTTTTGTAATAGTAGTGTCAGCCAAGTCTCGTAAACCGTTAATGCCCAGCTCTTGCTACGCTGGGACTCACGCTGTTCCTCGAAGTTTCTCAGAAACGCTTAGTACGAACGGACGCAAAAACCAGGACCCAGTTTGGTGACTCGAGAATTATTTATTCTAACACCAACATATAATCAGTGTTACAACTAAGGTCTATGAACAAATATTACAATTATTATTATTATTATTGTATCCTTTAGTTCCTAGAGGAACATAGGGCTTCAGCTGCGCACCTCCATTGACTTCGGTTTTTTGACAACTTTTTCACCCTGCTCCAGGTCTGCCCACATGCTTTCATCTCCTCTTCACATGACCTCCTCCAAGTCACCCTTGGACGACCAACTCGCCGCCTCCCTTTCGGGTTCCACTCGAGGGCTTGTCTAGTGATGTCACTTGTTGGTTTCCTCAGCGTATGGCCAATCCATCTCCATTTCTTTCTGCCTATTTGTTTAACAATCGGTTCCTGATTGGTTCGCTCCCAGAGATCCCTGTTGCTGATCTTTTCTGGCCATCTGATCTTGAGTATTGAGCGGAGACAGTTGTTAATGAAGGTTTGAAGTTTGTTTGAGATGCTCTTTATGACTCGCCAAGTCTCTGATCCGTATAGTAGCACTGACTTCACATTGGAGTTGAAAATCCGGATCTTATTTTTGATGCTGAATGATGTTGACCTCCACACAGATTTGAGAGTAATGAAAGCTTGTCTTGCTTTTCCGATTCTGGCTTTGATGTCCTCGTCAGTTCCGCCTGTAGTTGAGACGATGCTTCCCAGGTAGGTGAAGGAGGTTGTTTCTTTCAGGTTCTTCCCATTTATGCTTATTGTGGTCTGTTGTTGCTGTTGATGTTGGCAAGGAATCTTCATCATCTCTGTTTTATCTATGTTCACGTGAAGTCCTATCTTTGATGCTTCTTCTGCCAATTTGTTACTTTTCATTTGCATATCTTCCAGTTTATGGGAAATCAGACATATATCATCGGCGAAATCCAGATCCTCCAAGTCTTTTGTGTCAGTCCATTTTATGCCTGTTCCCTCGTTGGTTGACGTTGTCTGTCGCATTATCCAATCGATTGCAATCAGGAAGATCATTGGTGATAGTAGACAGCCTTGCCTCACTCCCGTCCTCACTTCGAAGGCTTCCGTAAGTTTCCCGTTGTGGATTACTTGGCATGCAGCATTGTCGTATAACTGTTGGATGAGGTGTATAATTGTCGATGGGACCCCGTAGTAGCGAAGTAGTTTCCAAATGACCTCTCGATCGACGCTGTCGAAGGCCTTTTCAAAGTCGATGAAGTTGAGATAGAGAGGTGACTGCCATTCCAAGCTTTGTTCAATGATGATCCGTAGAGTGGCGATTTGATCAATACATGATTTGTTTCTCCTGAATCCAGCCTGTTCCGGACGAAGTTTTTCATCTAGGGCTTGTTTGATTCTCTCCAGGATGATGCGACTTAGTATCTTGCTTGGAATGGACAGAAGCATAATTCCCCGCCAGTTTTTACATTGACTTAAGTCTCCTTTCTTTGGAAGTTTGAATAAGTAACTGTTCTTCCAATCCTCGGGTACTTTGCCCTCTTTCCACACCTTCTCCAGTAGTGGTGTCATCAAGTCCGCTGTTGTCTCTGGGTCTATTTTCAAAGCCTCTGCTGGGATTCCATCTGGTCCCGGTGTTTTCCCAGTTTTAAGCATCTTGATTGCATTCAGGACTTCCGATTTCGTCGGGGGGTCAGTGTTCACTGGTAGTTCTGCTTCCGTTGTTGGTATTGCTGGACGTGTTGTAGGTGGCGGACGATTTAGAAGTCTTTTGAAGTGTTCAACCCAGTGCTTTCTCTGTTCCACCTCTTTGGTGATTGACTTTCCATTGTCGTCCTTTATTGGCTTAATCTGTGTCGAACGTTTGCCCGAAAGGTTCCTAGTTGTTTGGTAGAGTGTGGCGAGGTCTCCTTTGCCTGCAGCTTGTTCTGCTTCGTTTGCCATGGTTTCATAATATTTTCTTTTGTCTTCCCTGGCACTTTTCTTCACTCTTTTGTTCAGTGTATTGTAGCTTGCATTCAGCTCCTGTTTTTGTTGCTCGTCGGAGCACTGGATAATCTTTTGCTTCACTGTCTTTCTCTCTTCTATTAGTTTCCAAGTGTCTGTAGTGAGCCACTGTTTGTCCTGTCTCTTTTTTCTGCCTAGAATTTCTATACAGGTTTGGCTCCACACCGTTTTCAAGTTGTTCCAGTGCTTTTCAACGCCGACCTCTTCGCTAGTGTTGATTTGTGTCTCGGCTTTGTCCTTTATGCTTGCAATGAAGATGTCCTTTGTAGCCTGGTCCTTCAGCTTTTGAGTGTTGAACTTGGCTTGTGGTCTATCTGCAGCTCCTCCTTCTTTGAAAGCTTTTAATTTGATTTGGATTGTCCCTTGTACGAGATAGTGGTCTGAGCCAACGTCTGCTCCTCTTCTTGCTTTTGTGTCCAGTAGGCTGCGCCTCCACTTCCTTGAGATTGAGATGAAGTCGATTTGGTTTTTGGTTTGCCCGTCTGGTGACACCCATGTAGCCTTGTGGATATCTTTGTGCTTGTATACACTGCCACCAATCACCAGTTCGTTGAAGGCGCAGAAGTCGGCGAAGAGTTCTCCGTTTTCATTCATTTCTCCTAGAGCTTCTCTACCCATGATGAGTTCCCTTCCCGTATTGTCTGGTCCCAGTTTGGCGTTCATGTCTCCCATTAGTATTTTCATGTCGCCAGCTGGAGTATTGTCCATTGTTGCCTGTAGTTGCCTGTAGAATTCTTCTTTCTTCTCGAGGTCTGCGTTGTTTGTGGGTGCATAACATTGTATGATTGACACTTTCCTTCCTTTGGAGTTGAACCTGGCGGTCATTATCCTGGACGAAATCGCCTCCCATTGTATCAGGGCTTTCGTTGCCGTTGGTGACATCATGATAGCCACGCCCTCGGTGTGCGTGTGGTTATCTTCTGGGTGACCGGAGTAGATCACTGACTCACCTGTTGACAATTTGGTGAGTCCACTCCCATTCCATCTGCTCTCACATATTCCCAGCACTTGTATTCCGTATCTTTTCATCTCGTTGGCGATCTGGGCAGCTTTTCCAGTCTCGTACATAGTTCGGACGTTCCATGTTCCTACACAGACTTTTTCTTTTGGTGCAAGGAGGTTCATTTTGCTGAAGGTTCTGTAGCAATTTTGTTTACAGGGTGGGGTTGCTAGCCTCACGCCTGAGAAAAGAATGATTACATTAAGTAAAAGTTTAGAGAGAAGCAACTTTTTGGGTTGCTCCCCTCAAAATCAGAAAATAACGGACAAACAATGAGAACAACATCAACAAAGGAAACAGTTCACAGAAAAAAGGGCAAAAAGCGACGACAACTATACAATAAGACAACATGCAATATAGTTCAGTACAGTTAACTAAAATGATATCTTAACCATAAATATTAACCATAAATATTACAATAATAAATCACAATTCTTTCTGAAAAGCGACCGATGAGACGATGACTGGCTGATTGATGCTTCCGCGAAAATTGGGGAAGTTGGTTTTGAACAAACAACCATGAATTGACCGTTCAATCTCCAACTACATTGAAAAGTAGTATTAGTATTTCGAGATGACCGAATTACAAGAATTCCACCAAAACACAGAGAGGGATGAATTCAGGAATTTGTATTTGGCGGAATCATTATTCAATATATATTAACAAGCAACAGTAAGTATTTAAACAATACAGAGATAGAAATTGTCAATTACCACAGTTACGCATACCGTAAGAGCTTTCCGATGGTAGTTGTGTGTCCTTGTTGTCTGAGATTGATATTTCGTGTAGGACCTGAAACAAGAATACTAGGTTTATACAAGGAACCCGATCCATCATTCGTCAGCTACACAAGTAGAGGTTACCAAAATCAACCGCGGAAACTAGAGCCATTCAGACAATAAATTATGTTCTGCTTGGCAACATATATGGTGATCAAGTAATCAAATGAAATAGCCTGATACTTCACACTACTAATTTTTGGAAACCAGCGGTCGGGAGCCATTCACGGAAACCAGTGGTATCAGTAACTCGCAAATGGTAAATTTGATCCATCTAGTCATATAATGGGCACACTTGTGATTCAGTGGTAGAGTGCTTGCTAACCGCGCATGTGGTTTAGGTTTGATTTCTTTAGGAAGAACACCTAAGAATCGCCTAGTCGGTGGTAGTCATGGTAGGTACAAGAAGTTTGGAGTGAAGACAAGAACCTTACGGCGAACAAAAGCAGATCTGATGATGAAACCACCAAACCTTAGAGTGAAGAAGTATACTGCGCTCGGAAGGCAAAGGTATGGGAAAAACAGTGATAGAAAGCCAGTTATTACAAGATTCTCCACGATTTATTGTTTTTGACAGAAGACAGCACCATATATCTCGGAAAACTATTCGAGTACCTAACAACCAACTCAAATTCAACACGACATGACCGCCTGGAAGGTTGGAATTTCATTATTCCATCTTCAGTAGAACAACATAGAGGAGATCATGTGGTTCTCAGTTGGTTTCGTAACGTATGCTCAAATCCTGAGTGTTACATAAATGATTACACCTATTCTAATCGCTGCTGTCATCTGTTAACGAGCAGGCGTCTAAGCCTCTGTGGGGATTGTTGCCCCTAGCGCATATGCAACCAGTGCGAATAAACCAGTTCACCTTGCATTCGTTAAGTGTTCACATTCCACCTCATCTAATGGATAAAGTGGAATTTGAGGTATTTGTTTCAGCACATCGAGCTCGTAGACTAAGTTTGACCTCAAAGCGAGGGAATTATGAGAGTGATGCTTGTCAAGGTCAAATGTGTCAACAGAATAACTAGATTCTGTATCGCATTTAGACGGAATTACAGCCTTCCCACAGATTACTTTCAAAACAGCCTACCTAGTTTAAAGGTTCCACAACTTGAAAAATCTTTGGAGAGATATATAAAATCGCAGGTTGTTGTTTAGATATAAACTTTCTGTTTAGTCTACTTTAAGTTTTTTCCTCACTACAAGTGTATCTGCTCCTTACGCAAAGTATAATTTCTGTGATAATGCTCGTTTTGGAGGGGTTTAGTATTTTCCTAAAGTGAATTTCATACAAAATGAGCAGGTTTTTTGCATATGGTAATAATGATAATATAATGGGTAATTCTTGTTTATATAGTTGTCGAAACAGGAAAATATTGCTTAAAAGATGGTTAAAATGGGAAAGTAATGGTGAAATAGTAAAAATACCTTTTATATTTCGGCACAATATTAGATGGACCATATAGAAATATTGGTCCAATAATTGTGAAATAGTGGTTGTATAATGGTCAAAATTGTAAGATACTGGTTAACTTTATTCCAGAATAGGATCAGTCATGTCATATACCTGAATTCGCTGATTTCTTCTTACTGTTGGCAATGCCTATTTTCACCGTTTGAAACCCTTTTTGTTCAACTAAGGAATTACGGTTCTTATTGAAAATTTTAACATCAGACCTGTAGTGCTTATTGAATGTATCACTTTTCAGGTATCAATCTTTCGTATCAGCAGTCTAAATTAGTAGCGATATTGCTGTCCTGTGTGTACGTTTCTAAATTCCGACGGTTAAAATGGGTAAAATGTGGGAAAAGTAGGCAGTTTTGATTGGCTGTGGGTAAAACATGATTAAAATGTGACGTTTCAACCACACAGTCCGTGTTTTTCCCCATGTGGCCCCAATTGCACTGCTTCATTCACTTCCGCCCAGCTCAATGAATTACCCATTTTTCCCACTTTTTCAACGAATTAATCTGCCACCTTTCTACACTTATCCCACTGTTTTGATTCACTCTTTCCTGCTTTACTTACGTTATCTCCAGGTGTATCCCACCTTTTCATTGGGAATTTTGACCGTCCCCCCCCCACACACTTATATATGTTTATGAAAAAATTCTCTAAGCGGGTAGTATTTTGAGTAATTATTAATCAATTTACTTGCGGCAGTAATCAAATATCTAACATTAACTGCCACAAAGGACAATCTAGAACTAGTAATACGAATTTTAATAGTTATTCTTACTGGTTATTATCCATAGGAACATTTTGGCTATTGAGAAAAGAATGATCAAAGTTTGGGGCTTTGGAATTACTTGAAAGTTATAACATCTAATTAAATTGACACCTTAGAATTGAGGATATAAAGTCTTCCACTAAAGTCGTCGTAAAATATTGAGGCAGGTACTTCGATGCCTATCGAGTAGTAAAGAAATTTTCTATCAACTTGCTTGCTATATCTGAAAATTATTATCAACAGTTTAGCGTATACGTACTTTTCGGGTCTATACTAGGTGCTGACGGGGTGTCCTCGTTGCTTTCTAGCTTATCATTTTTCCGGTTAAACGTTCTCAAAAGTTGGTGGAACTCTTTAGAGTCTTAATGGATATCTAGAAGTATAATATGTGAAGCACTTAAAATTACCGATTTCATGAAGTTGATAGGAACTAAGTATAAACGACCTCAATCCACTAGCCAAAGCATATGAAGGGTTCACAGTGCTATTTTATGCAGAGAAATCACCTCCAACAACTCATGCTTTATAATGGGAACCATGTCATGAAATTACTAGAAAATTAGTTGGAGTTAGTACCTGTAAAGGTAGATTAAGTAGAATAGAAAATGTCAGTACTAATTACAAAGACTGCACACACCAAGGTAAAATTACCCGGTGAACAGTAGATTTTCTCGTGTTGACCGAAAAGCTCAACATTGTGTTTATACGACCGTAAATTGAGAAAAGGTTTAAGTCAGTAAAAAAACAACCTCTTTGACCAGGTTTTGATAAAATTTAAGAGTTTTCGGAATGTCACACTCAGTTAATGTGATGAGATTTTGTGATATTCAAGTGCAAACTTATGACTGACTTTTGCAAACGACAAAAGTAATAACAATAATAAAAGTAATAGTAATTGTTCTTTTTTTGCTTTATAGGAAGCAATTCTTAATGATTCAGAATTACAGTACACAACAAAAGTTGTCTCTAAATTTTCTCAAAGTAGAGGCCCTGTGTTACAGAAATCCCTGGAGGACTTTGCTAAATCCAATCCTAACACAAGTTATGTTGCAAATATGTGGTCTCGTATGTACTTATGTGACCGTCGGCCAGTGGTTTTAACTCATAATCCTGTTTTGTTGTTTAAGAATACTGAATTGGGTAAAGGCTATGATGATGTGAGTTTCTGTTTCTTCCTTTTTGGTTTCTCCAACTAATACATTCGGCTTCAACATAATTTTTAACCATAAATTTGTAGGAATCGTAGGAATCTTTCTCTTTTTTTCTTATTTTTCTTTCTTTTTTTTACGTTGCACTTCAATTCACTTATGAATTGGAAAGTCAGGAAGGGGAGCTTCCAATGTTAGATTGCAACGTAAAAAAGAAAGATAGGAAGTTAAACACTAGTGTTTACAGAAAACCCACACATTCAAACATACTGGGACTTCCGATCATCCCATCCTGTGTCAGTAAAGATAGGGTTGGTGAAATATTTAAGTGACAGAGCACAAAAACTAAGGAATACTAAGAAAAATCTAAGACAAGAGGTGATACACATAAAAGAAGCCTTGAAACTTAATAATTATCCGGATAAATTAGTCAGGAAATATGTAAGGAAATCTAAGAATGAAATAAATAATGATAGTAGCGATAGTGATAATAATAATATTAATGACGACACCAACAATAAGCAATCTAAATCATCAGTAGTAATCCCATACAAGGAAGGAACCTCGGAAGCCTTACGCAGAATTCTTAACAAGGCAGGAATAAAAGTGGCATTCAAACCCACAAACTCAATTAGAAACAAGCTTTGTCGGTTAAAAGATCAATCCTGTGGAGTCTTTGAAACAAAACAATTTAGTTTATCTAATACCCTACCTCCAATGATTGTCAAGTCAAATACATAGGTCAAACTAGTAGAACAGGGACAGTCAGACTAGCCGAACATAAAAATCTAGCAAAATCTAGATTGGTTGACCCGAATAAGATAACAAATCTGGAGAATAGTTCAGCTAAAGCATTACATGCAGTTAAACACAACCATACAATAGGATGGGATAGGATGACAGTTTTAAAAGCTAATGTAACAGCTGGGCGGAGGGAGAGATTGATAACAGAAGCTTTGTTTATCGAATCAACTGGGAGAGAATGCGTGTAATAGGAATGATCCAACACCTGTCCATCCAGATATCTGGAAAATTCTACTACCCATACAACAAATAGGAGAAGACAAAGAAAACTATAAAACTGAAGTTTCGAAGTCGTGTGATTATAATTGATGATATGAATATGAACAATAAATTTTGTTCGAAACGTCATCCAGTAAATAATACTGTTTCACTGTGTGATATATCTAATAAATAAAGTAATATGGAACCAATTGAACTCTCTTTCTTTATACGTATGTTGGGTTAAAATCATTTGATAGCAGTAGCTTTTATAAGACGAAGTAACCCCTGTTTTTTCTACATGTGTTGATCATTCTGAAGGCTTGATTGATTTCAACTGTATGTCCTGTGGTAATCAGAGGTCTCACAGTTTAATTGGTAAACACTTTCTCACTTTTGATACGAATGCTATTAGAGATATGCTCGGAAATTTAAGGAGCCACCCGCCTATGTACCGGTTACTGCAAGTGCTTTGTCCAAGTAAATCAAGAGAATTGGGCGTATAAAATTCAAAGCAATAATACTAACAATTTCAAATAACAGAGCAAAAAACACTCCCGGTGTTAACGGATTAAAAACAAAGGTTAACTGAATACTGAGTAGGCTATTGGTCAGTTCATAATAATGCAAACTGTCACTAAATACCCCAGGAGACATTCAATGTAGATCAGAATTTCAGAAAAAATTTCGGTCAGTGGTTAGAAGAGTTTTGTCTGAAATTATTCTGTATTAAAATATTCAAAAGAATCATTGAAAACTGAAGACGTTAATTAAGTTATGTTGTTAATTTGTGCGAAGTTGAAAAAAACAGCTGGCTGCTGGAATTTAGATTCACTAACCTAAGGATATCGACTACACTGTCAAAGGCCCACAACCTGCTACGATTATAAACAACACTCTTGTTTCGAAGCGCTTGTAGTTTTTAATGATAATCATTTCCGAGAGGTATTCATCTCTTAATGTTTCTAAATTAAACAAGACTACTTCAATAAGTTTGTGGTGTGTGCTACGGATAAGATTTATATGGAGTGTGTTGGTGTAGATTAGCAGGAAGCTTCCAAATTTGAAATCAACACTTTAAGTCAATGGCTGCAGAGGTGGAAGTGTTTATTCCTCATATTTGCATCTCGTTTACGTTGTGAACATGTAGTAATCTCTTTGGCCAACTTTTCATCGCAATGTTTAACCTTGGGCCAATCACCAACGAATCAGAACAATTTATTGTCCACTGACCCAACCAACTGTTAATATGGTTAAAAATGTATAAATCTGATATGTTCTTCCTCAATAAAAGAAGTCCGTTACCAATTCTCTTATCTTCTGTTGTTACAGGTTCTGTAATGGATACATTAATTTCCTGATTTGTAATTTGGCATGTTTTGTTACCGACAGATATCAACAATTAACAAATTATGAGCATTTCCCCGACCTTTTAGAACACTATATATTTCCGTACAAGTTTGTAGTGAAGTAACGAGAACAGTACATAATGTCAGTTGACTGCAGACTCCAAACTTAATGAACACCTCTTAGAAAATCACATTTATGCAGTTTTTTTTAAACTCAAAAAATTCAAGTTTATACAAAAAGATTAATGCTTGGACACAACGGCAAAAGAGCTAAGCATAAGAGGTGCGTAGGATAATCAGTAACTAATAGATGGAGTAATAGTGTGGTGACTTCACATTATATCATAAGAACACGAGAAAAAGCCATACCGTATCGAAGAGGCTGAGGCTGTAACCAAAGACTATGTAATCCAATAAGAGGAAGAATAAATGCATTCAGTTATCAGAGCAAGAAAAGACTGATATCTGCTCCTTTCTGAGCACACTGATCGGGTTTCAGGCGTCTGATAGCGATAGCTTCAGCAAACTTGAGGACAATTGAATTATATTGATAATTTCGAAGGATTTGATGGTGTTCACCTCATAACCCGTATCAAATGAGATGTCTGGCAATAGTACTATTGAAAGGGTTTATCCCCTTGAGAAGTGGGTTTTTTGATACACATTCAGAAAATCAAGGGTGTTCCCTTCTTTATGTCTTCCTAAGGTAATTACTATTGCAGTTGACTATTATAGCTTCAATATACTTCCCTATTCACACTGTCAGTACATTTTGGCTTCATTCTTCAATTCAATTGAATTTTAGATCTTCCCGTCGATTGGTTGGACCGAAGTGCTCGGTCTCAGGTTGACATGTCGGCTTCTTGTGCCCAAATAGGAAGAAATGCGCATCCTGGATTCCACTGTTAGTCACCATCCACCAATTAAATTCTAATTAAATGCCCAGACATCGTCGAAGCATCTGCATAAGAAACCAACATGTCAACCTGAGACCGATCACTACAGTCCAATCAATCGACGGGAAAATCTAAAATTCAAATAACATGACCCGTTGCATAAGAGGTGGCTCTCGTGGCCCAAGTGGTCTAGTGGATAACACTGTGTCGTTTGAAACCATGGGCACTGGGTTCGAGCCTCTGGGAAGTGCAGGTACATCCGGATGACGAGTCCCAAATAAGACGAAGTGCGCATCCTGGATTCCACTGCTAGTCACCATGCATCAATTAAATTCATTCTTCGATGTGCTAATTTGCCTCTTTGTGTATTTGATTAGGAATAACTGTGTGATTTTGTTTTCTGTATATACTCGTACTCAACCTTTCATCTAGCCTGCAATTAGATCGACGAATCTTGTGTACAGTATTCTTCGTTTCTATAAATTACTCTCTAAAAATGAATTATCTCCACCGATGTATTGCCCAAAGAAAGATTGGTCAAAGTCATCATTTTTTGAAAAAATAATCAGGTGTGTGCCACAGTCATATGCATCCAATGTTGCTCGTTGGTTTAATGTGAGTTTATGTATTCATTAAAACTTCTAAATAACTTGATGTTTAAATTTATGAGAACTTAGGAATTTTCAGTTGTTACTTTGCAAGAATTCGATTATTTTCGACATTGATCACGAACTAACTTGAGTTTGCGAATCATTAAAAACCAGGTTGCACGAAACACTTGAGACTTTCCAGCAGTACGCACCCGGGGATCGAATCCAGGACCTTCAGGTCACAAGGTGAGCTCGTTGACCATTCAGCCACCGGGATGGTCGGATGGTCCAATAGCCCATCACTTCTAACTTCTGATACTTCTAACTAAAGTCATTTCGCGATCATCCTTGAAATTAATCAAATCCCAGCAAATTAATCTGATATATGCTAGTGACTGACTACAGTATAAGGCTACCTGAAGTTCTAGTGAGAGGCTGTAACCAGCGGCGTCCCCTAAGTTGAGTGTGATGACGAATGCTGTACGATAACATTGACTGGGCTTCGCGCTGTGTATATTGCGAATTGGTAGAATTTCGAATTAATGAGCCCTTGGGTTCCTTCCTGTTGGCCGGATAGTTAAGCAGCTCGCCTCATAATCTGAAAAATCCAGGTTTGATTCTTATTGGAGTCATGGGCTAGTACTGTTGAAGAGTCCCGAACTAAGACGAAACGACTGTCCAGTACTTCGTGGATTTTAGTGGTTCTCTAGTTGAAGTCAGTTCGTGATCAAATCTGAAAGTATCCAATTTCTTCAGCTCATTAGTGGCTAATAGACAGATGTTTTTAAAGTTATAATGAGAAGTCGAAGTCGATGGAGTCCACAGTGTCAGGGTGGAGAGTATGCTCATCAACAGCACTACTTTGTAGTGACGCTATGTCACGAACTGACAGAGGTTAGAACTAACGGGTCGTTATATTCCGACTAAAAAGGCTGAGTGGTCTCGCGACCTGGAGGTCCAAGGTTCGACCGTTGACTTCATGATTAGAAGTGAGTCGTAGCTCATTCTTCGCACCTAATGCTGTACAACATTCTTTGACAGCAGACTTACAAAGTGACACTAGTTAGCAAACCGCTGGAAACCAAGGATAAAAAAAATTTCAATCAACAATCAGTTGTACTTCTCTGAAGTTGTAAATCAGCCACACCTACAGTGCTGAAGGCTAATGATGCCATCTTGTTGCTGTCATGGGTGTGCATCGCTGAGGAGCCCTAATGTAGGACGAAGTAGCTCTCAAGTACTGCCTGGTTCTCCGTGGTTCTCTAACTGATATCGATCCGTTATATAACTTGCAGTAGTAATCGCAATAATAATAATAGTAATGGTTTTCCAACCAGTGAAAAAATGGCTTCTTCTTAGTTTTCAATATTTTTACATATGTATACTTGCTGAAGATTGTTTTTTCTCTCCTTTGTTTTAAAACTTTAAGGTTTATCCACTGGATACAAGTCAATACAAAAATATGTTCTGCTCAACTCGTCTGCCTGGCAATGATTGTGATCAACTAGTTAACTTTAGTCGATCACATCATTTATTGGTTATTCACAATGGACATTATTATTACTTTGATGTATTAGATGATTGCGTAAGTAATTCGTCCCATGTTTGTTTTTATTTGAGGGTGTGTAAATCCAGAATTTCAGAATCAAATTTAACATTTGCCAATTTTATATACAGTTTGAGGGAGACATCACAATAATTCCCTTTGGAAAGCAAACATTACTCAAATGAAAATATGTGATCTGATCTGCTTGATAGCATAAATGGAAATTAAGAAAGTAAGAGAAATAGCTTGGTAGCACCTATCACTGATTAATTAGTATGAGTAGTGGTTGGCAGTAGTGCTCGTGGTCGAGCTCTTCAGAAGTGCCCGGTTTCACTCAGTTCATACAGTGGAATCAGTTGAGATCGCCGATATTCTGGTTGGTTACTTGGATGAACTATTCATATCAGTCCATTGTATGTATCGATAGAGAATTGTTATTGTTATTAGTTGTTATTGTTGTTAGTTGGTATTGACAGTACTGTGCTTCCATAACCCGTAGCTCATCAGATTGTGTAAAGGTTGTTGATACCTCACTGGTAAACAGGATGGGGTTTGAATTCGTAATCCCCTTGTTAAAAATCGAGTGTATAATAAAATGAGGACATATAGCGAATGTATGCCACTGACTGTTAGTTAATTACAGATTCATTGAAGCAGTAGACTTCTAAGAATTCTCTGGCGTTCTTACTGTATCCTTTCTCTAGGACTGACACATATTTTTATTGCTCAAGTGTTGGTTGATCGATTTCAAACTAGATCACTAGCCGATATCAATTATAGAACCAGCTATTGCAAATCAGGGAGTACCGAACAACGTTTTCTTCCTAGTTTGGGACTGTTTGACTGTACGGGCCCATGCCTCCACGGGTAATCGAACCGCGGACCTTCAGGTTATGAGGTAAGCCTGTTGATGGGGGTTATCAATCGCGAAGTGGCAGAAGTTGGGATTCATGGAACATCAGATTCCGTCCCTGTGGCTGGAAGGTCTCTTAACCTCTAGGACCTGTATACAACCCTCAGTAGGATCATGTGCATCAGTGTCACAGTGGTTAATACTCCCGCCGACCATACACATGGTCCGAGGTTCGAGCACACGCCGACGCACACCTGATATCTATGGTTGGCCTGCGAAATTTGGGCCACCTATATCCAGGCTGAAAATTCCATATTTGTACCAAAAATACAGTGTGGAATCAAGCTGTAATCAAAAATAAAAATAAAATAGATAAATAAAATGAGTTCTTAGTGTTGAAGAGTCCCAAGTTAAGAAGAAACAACTGTTCAGTCCTTTCTGGCCAACAGTTTTTTAACTGCTACCAGTTCGTAGTTTGACTTGTAATACTTTCTACGGCTATCTGTAATTGTCTGATGGGATACACTACTCTACTAGATAGTGAAGTTTTGTTTTACTGATTTCTTGGCTATTTTTCGCATAAAAAAGCTAATTTTTCTTCTTTTTAATTAACATTTCCCCCTAAAATTTCCGATATTTTATGTAAAGGGTGAAATTATTCCCGCCAATCTACTGTTGAGTAACCTTCAGTTTATATTAAAACAACTCAAGTTGACTAATCCACCTCCACCATCGATTGGTGTGATCACAGCAATGCCACGTGATAAAGCATTTGTGGCACGTCAACGTTTAATTGATCTAGGCAATCAAGTTTCATTGAATTTAATCGACTCAGCATTGTTTGTCTTGGCCTTAACAGATGAAACAGCTGTCAATCATGTGAATGCGGTAGGTTTCGGTATTGTTTTTTATTGACACTTTCAATTGATGTTTTTCTCAATTTTTGAGATCTGTTGCTTGGAAACATTAATGTCGATCATCTATTTAGGATTAAATAGGCGTTTTATGCTCTTGAAGCTAGCCTGTCTCTGTCTAAGTACTGCTACCTTGATGTGGTCATGTGGCTTGTTTTTCTCAATGACGTTTATAAGCTACACTAACTGGAACTAATATTCCTGCAGGTATCGCTTTGCCAGAATAGTCGTTCGGATGGCGGTTACAGTATGTTGGTGTCTAAGGGCAAAGTCGTAGTGCTGGCAGTTAGCGGTGTAACTATTATTGTATTGTTATTATTTCCTTCTATTCCTAGAGGAACATGGGGCTTCAGCCGTGCGTCTCCATTGCGTTCGGTTCTCTGCCAACATTTTCACCCCGCTTCAAGTCTGCCCACACGCTTTCATCTCCTCTTCACATGACCTCCTCCAAGTCACCCTCGCACTGACGACCAACTCGCCGCTTCCCTTTTGGGTCCCACTCGAGCGCTAGCGGTGTAACTACAGTAAGGTATTTCCTTCGGAAGACCGATAACCCAGCTATGCTGCCTCTCGGTTCTGGGACCAAGAAGACAGTAATATTCTACTCGAGAATTTTACATCCTTGCAGGATGCAGGGGTAATATCTTCACGCAGATACAACTTCTGAAACCACTCCAAACAGACCACATGTATTTGGCGTCGATCGTATGTCTGCCGTCACTCAACACTAATAATGTTTCTGTTTCAGGTATTTCAAGAGAAGAGAAAATCAACTTTCTTAGTGTGTGCAGCCGGTAATTAGTAATAGCCACTCATACACTTCTGTAAGGAGTCAAAGCTTTTCTGATCATCACCCAGTTGCAACATTTTTCTTTCCACTCCTTGTTTATCTGTCGTAAAATGGTATTTATCTGAATTGTCAACTTCTAAATTTACTCTTGTGTGCTTTCATGAAAATTTTACTATGAAATTTTGTATGAGCACATATGTCAAATGAAATTCTTCCAGTTCTATTAAATAAAGTTTGTGCAAGTGATGCTGACATCGTCGAGCTGAGGAGATGTAACAACTCTGTGTGTTTGGTGATTACTGTCTCTGCGGAATTCTTTTTATCCAGTAGCGATATCGTGTGACTTATTCGACTGAATATGTATGAATTAGGCGAAGATTAATTTTCATCAGGTGATTCCAACTTTTGGACACCAACTTCTGTGACTTGTACTAGGACTGGTGAGTGAAAAATGTGGGATTAGCATCTTCTTTTATGGCATTCTTATCAGTAATATGCATTAATGGATGCTTATTAATGGAAGCTTATCAATTTCATCCGGTTGTTCATTCTCAACTATTTTCTTCATGTCATTTTTATCGTCTTCTGTGCGATAGTTCTTTTCCTTCCTACTATGCGAAGTTTGTATTTGAATAAATAATAATGATAGTATAAGTGGTAAAAGTCATATGTTTACATATGGAAGCTTCTATGACACTCTACAGCTATGAAATGTACACATACGTCGGCAAAATTCATAATTCATAACAATTTTTAACTGCATAAATAGTGCCCCATCCATAATAACACTCATCTATGATGCCTGTAAGTCTTCATTTAAGACATGTAAGACAGGATGTTCAGGTTCATGGGAAACTGTTGGGTAACATCACGTGTCAAGCCCTGGTGTGAGACTTTAATTGGAAGGGAACAGTCGAGCGTCTGAGGGTGACATGAACCCTGGGCCTAGAAAGGACTTCAGAGAACAGGATGAAATGGAGAGCTGCTGCTGCAGCCCTGTGTTCCACTTCTGAAAACACTCCAAATAGGCCGCAAGTGTTTAGCCTTGATCGTATGTCCTACGAGTTCTGCGATCACTCAAAACTAATGCTAATAACACAGGGATTCAGCAACATATCTCCATTTCACCCTGCTCCCTACGATCCGACTCCGCGACTGTTCATAAGCTTTCACTTCCTTCATACACGATCCTCACCATATTACCATGGGACACTCATCTTGTCGTTTCCTACTCAGTATCCACTCTAGGCCCCGGTACGTGATTTTACTCTACAGTATCCTCAGCGTGTGTCCGATCGATCTCTATTTTCTTCAATATATCTTTTGGGTGATACGTTCTTGGCTGGTACTTTTCCAGAACTCATTTTTATTAGTCCTTTCTGGTTCTGTGATCTTCAGTGTGGAGCCGGCTAAGGTAGCTCTTCATGAAAGTCCGCAGCAGTGAGTTGCGAGTGCTTCTTGTGACGCGCCAAATCTCTGAAAAATAAACAAGCACTGACTTGACACTAGTGTTGTATCTCGTGTTGATTGCAGCAAAATTTACACATAGATTTCAAATTGATGGGGGTCTTTCTTGCTTCCTCAATTCTGGTTGGCTTTGTAACCGTCATCCGTGCCGCCTGTGGTTGAAGCAGTGCTGTCTGGATTTCTACTGTTGATGCTGATTGATGCTTGTTGATGTTGTTGGTAGTCTGGCATCCTCACCATCCTTGTATTCTCTATGTTCACCTGAAATCCCCCATTCGCTGCATCTTCTGTCAACTTGTTATTTCTTGCCTGTAGATCTGTGAGTTAATGTCACGATAGACATGTCATCCACGATGTCTAGATTTTCTAGAGACTTCTTGTTGGTCTAACGTATCTGTGTTTTCTCTCATGGTCTTCTGCATAATCCAGCCCACGGTAATCAAAAATTTATTTGGTGATAGTAAGGTGTATATTAGTCAGAAATCAGTAATCCGGAAAAGTTTCTATGTGTGAGGGCTGATAAAACTACTCATCTGCCCAGGCTGAATTGAACGATGTGAGATGCGAACCCAGGACCAATTGACTGAAAATTGAGTACTTAGTCGAATGAGCTACTTCTCTACAGCTTATTAGAAGTCGACTACAGGTACCAATAAGGTTTTTTGAAGTTTGACCATGGATCGATATCAATTAGAGACCCGTTGAGAACCAGGCAGTACTGGACAGCTGTTTCGCCTTAGTTTGGTATTCATCGGCAATACTCATCCACCGGATTTCGAACCCAGGACCTTAGGGTTATAAGGCAGGCTCGTAGACCATTCAGCCACTGAGAGATTTTCAAAAATTATTTTTGTCCAATTCGCCAAAAGCACTGATATGATATTCTTTTAATTCTAACCCTACTGTGATTTTTAAGTCTTTAATCCTCATACTGTTTTTATTGTTATCATTATTATTATAAATTATCAAGTTGCCCGAATTTCTATCCGGTTCATCAAAATCCCGTTGGTTTGATAAGAGTTTTAGTTTGTTGGTGAATCAATCTGGTTATGCAGCTATTAATTTTGAGCATAGTTGGGGTGATGGGGTGACGATTTCACGTTTATTCACTGATGTATACATCAATTCTGAGAAGCATCCAGTTGTAGATCCTTCAATGCTTAAAAATACTGATAGGTAGGTTTGTGTGTATCTGTTATGTTCAGTGTATTTTATCTTTTCTTCCTCTTCATAATATGGTCAATAATATTTAAGTTAGGCGCAGAGCGCTAAGTAAGGAAGGGAAGTCAATGGATGAGGGTGTGAAAACTGTTATAACAGGGACTATGTCCTAGTAGACTGTGAGCGAATACTAAGTTAATGCTCTGGCTAATCTGTCCTAATCTCACGTCAACATCAACAGCAATAACACTGCTTTCTCATCGAGGAATGTTAGCCGGCATTGAACTAGGTTGGAGAAAAGTAAGGCTGGTTGAATCGAAACCTAGCATCACTTCATAAAGTCTCACAGTTGGCTTGAGTCAACCACGTAGGGGTTGTTGATTATCTGGCTGGAGACGTTTAGTAATACACCCCAATAATTGTTCTCGATGATGTCGCAGACGCATTCACGTCTTATCTCTCAAATTCATTAAATCATTAAAACTTATGATTTTCTATATAATTAGTCTTCCTATCATACATTTATGGTCATTATAATTCCTTCGAATTGTTTCTTTGCCTCTGTATGCTCTGTATGAAGTGTAACAACTTGAACTGATCCACCGTTGAAAAATCAGTCTATCGACTTAAAGTTATGTTTGTAAATGTTACCTAGAAAGACAATGAAACCTTTTTTAGTTTGGAGAAAATAACAACACTACATTCTTTAGTAAAGGGAATAAAATTCACATTTGAATCGGAAAATGAACAAAGAGAATTAGCCATGATGTCAAACTGTAAAATGAAACGAACAGAAGAAGGTAAACTGCACGCTGGCGATTATAAAAAGCCAACACATTCTGCTAACAGATATTTAGACTTTAATTATCTTATCAGTTATCTGTAAAGGCTGGTTTAGTTAAGTGTCTAACATACCGAGCAACAACATCACTAAGTAGTACAACAAAAAGCCTAAATGATGAAATGAAACAGATAGAAGGAGCGTTGATATCAAATAACTATCCTATAAAATTCATTAGGAAGATCGAAAAAGGCCAAAAGCAAACTAAAAATAATTGTTAAACTAGTAATGATAACATAAATAACAGAGAATATAAGTCGTCTAGTGTTATACCAAATAAAGAGAGGACACCTGAGGCCCTACGTAGGATTCTTAATAGAGCAGGAATTAGGGTGGCATTCAAACCTACAAACTCACTCAGAGACAAGGTCTGTAGGCTAAAGGACCCGGTGGACCCAATTCAACAAAATAATATAATTTACAAAATACCTTGCAATGACTGTGAGGTGAACTACATAGGTCAAACTAGTAGGTCGGGAGTAGTCGGATTGTTGGAATATAAGAATTTAGCTAGGGTTAGAATGATTGACTCCACGAAGATAAGCAGTTTAGAAAAAAAATTCAGCAATCGCACCGCATGCATAAACACACAAAACCACACAATAGGGTGGGACAGAGTTGAAATTCTAAAAAGTAATATAGGTAGGTGGAGAGAGAAATTGATTACTGAATCGTGATTCATCAAGTATACACCCATCACATACAACAGAAATGACTCAACGCAAATACCAGGTATATGCGAGATATTGCTACCAGTCAAATCAGAGGATAATCAATAGTGTTAAAATTTATCTCAGTTCACATTATAGCATTCTAACAAGTTATTTATTTATTTTACTGTAAAAGCATCTTATTTCCCATCGTAGCATATTTTATTGATAACACTAATATTATTTGCGAATGTGCTTTATCTCATGTTGATTTTATTCAAATGTCTAGTCACTTTTATTTGATTGGTTGGTGGATTTCATCTTGTGCTGACATCGGTTAGAGGACCATTGGAAAACCTGCAGGGAGTACTGGACAGCTGTTTTGTCAGCCCAGTTTGAGACTCTTCATCAGTAGGCACCGACCGGCAGGGTTCGAACACAGGACCCTTTGGTTACAAGTCTAGCTAGCTGGTAGACCATTAAGCCACTGTGTCCAATCCAATGGCCAGACCATGAATTCTAACTTCTGACAATTCATGACATAACGCGACCACTTCGCAATGTCTTCTTCGATGGGTTACTGCCTCACCTTCAACCTACTGTACCCTACTGGTCACGGCTTCCCACTAAAACCCTAGGTCACTGTCTGTCTGTCTGTCTGTCTGGATTCAACATAGAACTTGGCACCGAAGTGCAGCAGTTCGAGTTGCCACGTTCCAAATAGCACACAGAGGTAGACAAGAAGATGAGTGAAGAGAATTAATAGAGTTTGACAAGTATAAGAGCGGAACAGAATGGGTAATGGTAGAAAGGAATATGAAAGATTACAGAGACTGAATACATCTGCGCCATTGACAACGATTTTGAGCCATGTCACCTATTGTCTCCAGCCATTGATTCCTAGAGTCCCGAGGGCCCCAACCCGGGAGTCTGCATCTCCCTACCTGACTCAGTTTAACTGTCAAGGATTTCATGGAATGATGCCATGTTTTTGTTTGGCCACCACTTACCCTTTTCCAACCTGAACCTATATCAGCTAGCAAAGCCCGTCGGGGGAGGCGGTGGTTAGGCATGCGAAGCACGTGACCTAGCCATCTTAGTCTATGTAACTTTATAGCCTCGTCGATTGATTTTCCCTCTTTGCCCAACACTCTACGCCTAACATCAACATTACTTATCTTGTGAAACCACCTAACGTGAGACAGAGATCGCAGACATCTATGATCGAAAGCAGTCAACCTTTTCATGTCTTCAACGCGTATTGGCCATGTTTCAGAGCCATAGAGAAGGACGGAGCGAACTGATGAGCAGTACACACGTCCCTTGGTTGATAACCGGATGTCACGCCTACGCCAGAGATGGTGTAAGTCAGCGAAAGCAGCTCGAGCTTTTCGGATCCGTGCTGAGATTTCATCGCCAATCAGTCCGTTGGTGCTAATACAACTTCCCAAGTAGGTGAAGTGGTCAACATGTTCTATCACTTCACTCCCTATCACTAAGTTAGGGGTTGACGTCGTCCAGTCCTGTAGCAGCACCTTACATTTTGCAGGGGCGAATCGCATGCCAAACCTACGAAGATTGCTGCTCAAGGTGTTCAGAAGACTCTGCATTTTTTCAGCATCCTCCCCTAACAGGACTATGTCATCTGCATATTCTAAGTCCATAAGATTATTCCCTGGTAACAAGTCGATTCCTAAGTCACTACGTTCAGTTAAGGATACTTCCATTAGCATATCTATGATGAAGTTAAACAGAAATGGGGAAAGTGGACATCCCTGTCGGACACCACTGGTTGTTACCAATTCAGATGACAATTCCCCATAAGCCCTTACACGACTACGTGAGTTTGAATAGAGTGCCTTGATTAGTGTAACGTACTTTCTTGGCACTCCCTTCACAGTCAGACATTGCCATAGTACCTTTCGATCCACGGAGTCGAAGGCCGCCTTCAAGTCAAGAAATATGGCAATTGTTGGGCGCCGAAAAGTGTGTCTATGTTCTAGAATCTGTCGAAGAGTGAAGATATGATCTATGCACCCTCTACCTAGTCTAAAGCCTGCTTGATTTTCCCTTGTCTGTTCCTCCCGAGTTCTGCTTAGTCTATGCATGATTACTGAGCCTAGGATTTTAGAGATTATGTTCGTTAGGCTGATCCCCCTATGATTATCACACGAGGACTTATTTCCCTTCTTGAATATCGGTATAATAAGTGACTTACCCCAGTCTGATGGAACTGTCTCTGATTCCCACACTTTGCCTAGTACCTCAGTTAATCTACAAACTAGTATGTCACCCCCATATTTAAACACCTCCGGAATAATTCCGTCGGGTCCTGCCGCTTTGCCTCGTTTCAAATTACTGATAGCTTTTGTAACCTCACCTACAGACGGCGGGCCAGTGTCTGTATCCCATTCGGGTACGTGGTGGATGGCGGGGAGGTTCAGTGTGGCTGTAGGCAAGTTAAATTGTCCCTCAAAGTGTTCTTTCCAGCGTTCAAGGCGTCTATCCTGAGAGTTAATTAAGGAGCCATTTTTCTCGGAAATAGTCTCACTTATGAATTGCCTTCTCCCGCCCGATTCTGTGATGAGTCTAAAGAGTTGCCTAGTGTTGCCTATCGCCAATGCTTTTGGCTGAATAGGACCAGTTGCTAGATAGCATCAGATCAATTTCTCAAGTATTGATTTTGTAGGGAATTTTTGTTTGTTTAACCGGTTGGAGGATTTCATCATGAGCTGACATCAGTTTTACACTCATGTATATAAATAAAACAAAAAGCGTTGTGTGAGTACCTTCATGTGATTATGAGCGACAATAATTTGTGCTCGAGACGTGGTCATCAGTTAATATTATTATATACCACTGTGTGATTTTATCAAAATAAAATGTTATCCATAATGGAATTATACTCTGCCACAGTGCCCAAGTTTTGTTATTCATTTTAACTGATTCATTGTTTCATAGCTTTATCCACCTTGAATTCAGTTTAATCCCTCACCAAAACTTCATCAAAGATAATAACACACTTCAGCAAACTCCTTCTATTGGTTGACATTTTCGCCAAGCTTTTTTTCATTCAACTGTCTCTTTCCCCTGTTCTTTTTCTCATTTTCATTTCAGTCTACCAAATCCAACTGTTAAACGTATTGAATGGATATTAGATGATGATTTTGTACTGAATATTATTCAGCCTAATGAATCACTGTATAATGCATGGAGAGATAAGCTAACATTTAGTTGTGTAGACAAAAGAGATTCAGTTAACAGGCGATTGTGTAAATCTGTTGGTTTAAGTCCTGACAGTATAATGCAATTATTATTTCAGGTAGATTTATTGTTTTGTTTTTGTTTGTTTGTGCAATTTGATGAAATAATTGACTGCTTTTTCTTCTTCATGTATGTTTATCTTGTGGATGTGAATGTTCTCTAGTCTAAGTGGGGTCGCCTTCAGGCTGTTGTTGTTTCTTTTTGTTTGGTGCAGAGGTTTCAGTGCATGTCTTCCTAGTCATCATTTTCAGTTTACTATGATTTTGATAATAATACAGCCTCTTCTACTGAATGGAATTCCACATTAGATAAGTTTATATGGCATAACACATAGTGATATAGTATTAACAACTGGGTGATATTTTGAGCACAATATATCACTGTTCATAATCATATCAATATGTATTTACACAGCTTCTACAAAATCAGCAGATATGTTTATGGATAGTTGGGAATATAATGCTCTAAGAAGGCTTAATCCTGCTTCTAGGTTATAGTGGAGATATGTGGATGATACACATTCACTGTGTTGGAATCTAAACATAGGCAACAACACAGCCTGGCTGTTAGTCAGGACAACACCCTGGGCGATGGTAACACCACCGAGCAGTCTGTTTAACTCCTCGTCGTTGCGGATGACCGATTGCAAGTGTCGAGGGATGATACGGGTCTTCTTGTTGTCGCACGCGGCATTACCAGTCAGTTCAAGCACTTCAGCGACCAGGTATTTGGGAAAAGCTGCCAAGTAGACGGGCGCTCCAGCATCGATGCATTCAGCGTAGATACCCTTGCACGAAAGACCATGCACACGACCAACTGGGAACTGAAGACCAGCACTTTTGAGTTGGAGAAAAAAAAGCTGAATCGATCATGCTAGACTGTAAAATAAAACGAAAACAAGATGGTGGGTTGGTTACTATCATCTATAGAAAACTGACATGCTTGAATAAGTACTTAGACTTCATTCTATCCCATCCAGAATCCGTAAAGGCAGGGTTGTAACGGCAAAAGACAAGGGCTAGGCAACAGGTAGTTTATTGAGAAAATCAACACATATTTATAAATCTTTATGTACATTATTGTTCGTTATTGTTGGCGGAGAAGCAACGTCTTCTGACTGGTTGTTTTCTTGCTCAAGGATATTCTGTCATCTCTTTGTGACCATTTCCTAGGAAGTCAGGCGATTTATCTGCAAGTCGTAGTCGCACAATCTGTGCTGTGATTGGTTGTTGACCGCCATCATAGTGTGAAAATATTCTTACACAATTCCGGGAACTGCTATCCTAACAACCTTGCTTGCATGGTAGGACGTGCAGGAACAATAGTTCCAGCCAGTGTAGCTTGTTTGGTCGCTGCGATGTGCAAACCAGACCGAAACGTCAAAGTAGCAGCTATCGGTCGGATCAAGTCACCACATTGCACCAGTCAATGAAATCCACAACAGTTAGTTTAAGCCACGTGGGAAGGTGTAAACTTCCTGTCTGGTTGGGGTCCTCGGGACGGTAAAAACCGATGGTTGGAGACAATCGGTGATGGGGCTCAAAATCGTTTTCAATGGTGGAGATGCATCTTTTCCTGGTGACTTATACTCTCCTATGAAACTATATTGTTCTTCGTTATTACTATTCCTTTTGTTTTTCTTCCCTGTCTACTGTCTCTATTTTCCATTTCTTCTACTTTCTTCTCTTGCTTTGTGTGCTACAAGGGGTGAGTGTGGCGACTTGAACTGCTGCACATATGTGCAAAGTTCTGTGTTGAAAACAGACAGACAGACTGAATGGGAAATATCAGAGAGACTTTTATTTTCATGCTTAAGTAGTAGCACTGGTTTCTGATGTTGGAGTGTATATTGTATTGCCTACCCTTACATTTTGTCCTGTAGTGGTCCCATTGAAAAATCATTATAGAACTTTGCACGTAAGTGCATCACTTGAAGATGTTTTATTTTAGAAAACTTCACAAAAAGAGGGAATAGAAATGGGTTGAGTAAGTACATCTGCGTCGTTATAAACACTTTCAAGGCATGCCTTATAATAGTCTCCAACCGTCGATACTAATGAAATCAACCAATTGACCTAGGTTTCCTTAAATGATAGTGAACAACAGTAAATGACATGGCAGCTTGAGGAAGTGCTTTCGATCTTTTCACCTTTCCAACCTGATTCGACCTTAACTGGTATTACTCGTTGAAGAAGCCTGTAGGCGACATAAGCAGTGTACGCTTTTTACCGTAGATATCTTTACAGTACTGTCAATTTTGAGTTGTGAATTTTAAGTTTCAATATATAATATTAATCAAGGAACATAATTCAGTCAGGGAGATTGTAAACCTTTTACTCTCTCTCTCTCTCTCTCTCTCCGCGTACTGATTCTGCTTGATTACCTCAGTTTTATTGTTCTATACATTTGTAAATTAGTTCAGTCAGAGACGTTACCACTGAGCTATTTGAGATCGCATTTGATTGGTCTCCTGTAGGATTGTATTGGTGTCGGTGGTTTAGCTGTAGAACGCTCGCCAACCACGAACGGGATCCTAGATTCAATGCCCTATCGATGCATTTCTAAACCTCTCTAAGCTGTTAGAGAGGGAAAGTTGTGCGTGAGAGTAGGAAGCCCACCCCATAAAAATAAATTCACTGCTATCGAAGCTGTAAAGCTTTAGCTTGAAGCGGTATGTCCCATTTGAAACGTTAACGAATAAAATTTTATTATTATTATTGCTCCCTTGGGTTCCTAGTGGAACATAGGGCTTCAACTGCACGTCTCCATTTTCTTCTGTCTTCTGCTATACTTTTCGCCTGCATCCATGTTAATCCATATTCTTTCAACTCCTCTTCACACGATCTCCTCCATGTCACCCTTGGACGTCCCACACGCCGCTTCCCTTTCGGGTTCCACTCGAGGGCTTGGCGCGCGATGTCACCCAGCGGTCTCCTCAGCGAGTGTCCGATCCATCTCCACTTTCTCCTGCATATTTGTTGGGCGATTGGTTCTTGCTTTGTTTGTTCCCATAATTCCTTGTTGGTGATTCTTTCCGGCCATCTGATCTTCAGTATTGAGCGAAGACAGTTGTTAATAAAGGTCTGCAGCCTTTTGGAAATATTCTTTGTGACCCGCCAAGTTTCTGATCCGTATAGAAGAAACTGACTTTACGTTTGTATTGAAAATCCGAATTTTGTTGGTGATGCTGAGTGACGAAGATTTCCAGATTGATTTCAGGTTGATGAATGTGTTTCTCGCCTTCCCGATTCTCGATTTGACATCCTCGTCCGCTCCTCCTGTAGTTGAGACAATGCTCCCTAGATAAGTGAATGAAGTAACCTCTTTCAAATCCCTCCCGTTGATGGTGATTGACGTTGGATGTTGTTGCTGTTGTTGGTTGGTTATTTTCATAACCTCCGTCTTGTCTATGTTTACCTGGAGTCCTGTCTTCGCTGCTTCTTCGACCAGTTTGTCGGTTTTCGCTTGTAAGTCTTCGATTGTGTGTGACATCAAACATAAATCATCCACGCGCGAAATCCAGGTCTTCTAGGTTCTTCACGTCGGTCCAGGATATTCCTGTCTTCTCGTTTCCCACTGTCTGACGCATAATCCAGTCCACCACAATTAGGAATATCATTGGTGATAGTAAGCACCCTTGTCTGACTCCTGTGTTTACTCCAAACGCCTCGCTGAGTCTTCCGTTGTGGATCACTTGGCAGGTGCCGTTGTCGTACAGCTGTTGAATAAGGTTGATGAATATTTGGGGTACGCCATAGTACTCGAGTAATTTCCAAATTACTTCACGATCAACGCTGTCGAAGGCCTTCTCAAAGTCTATAAAGTTGAGGTAGAGGTTTGATTGCCATTCCATGCTTTGTTCTGTGATGATGATGCGTAGAGTTGCAATTTGGTCAGTACATGATTTGCCTTTCCTGAATCCAGCTTGTTCTGGTCGGAGTTCTGTCTCCAGTGCGTCCTTTAATCTCTCCAGGATGATGCGACTCAGGATTTTACTTGGCGTCGATAGGAGCATGATTCCTCGCCAGTTCTTGCAGAGTGAGGCCTAAGTCGCCCTTCTTTGGTAGTTTCACGAGGTAACCTTTCCTCCAGTCAGTAGGCACCTTTCCCTCCTTCCAGACCTTTTGCAATAATGGAGTCAGCATGTCTGCTGTCGTCTCTGGGTCTGCTTTCAGTGCTTCAGGGGGTATTCCATCTGGTCCGGCTGTTTTTCCAGCTTTCAGAAGCTTGATTGCATTCAAGACTTCAGCTCTCGTTGGAGGATTGGTGTCAACTTGCAGTTGTGTGCGCGCTGTTGTTGGTATTTCTGGACGGGTTGCAGGTGATGGTCGGTTCAAGAGTCCTTTGAAGTGATCCGCCCATTGTTTAATCTGTTTTTCTTCCTTGGTAATGGGCTTCCCTTGGCTGTCTTTTATAGGTTTCGCTTGTGTTGGTCTCTTCCCGGATAGAGATTTGGTTATCTGATATAGTGTCCTCAGGTCCCTTTTGCCTGCTGCCTTCTCAGCTTCAGTGGCTAGATTGTCGTAGAATCGTCTTTTGTCCTTCCTAGCACTTTTCTTCACTTCTTTGTCCAGTGCTTTGTAAGTTGAGCTCATCGTCTCCTTCTCCTGTCCGTCCTTGCATTGAATCATTTTCTCTTTCACCATTCTCCTCTCTTCTATTAATTTCCAAGTGTCCGTTGAGAGCCATTCCTTGTCTTGTCTCTTCTTTCTTCCTAGAACCGTTGAACACGTTTCGTTGAGAATCGCCTTCAGAGACTTCCAATGTTCTTCCACGCATGATTCTTCAGTGATGTCGCGTAGTGTTTCCTGCTTTGCTCTGACAGTTGCAGTGAAGGTGTCTTTTGTGGTTGTGTCCTTCAGTTTTTGAGTGTTGAACTTGCATTGTGGCCTATCCCCAGCTATCCTCGAGGCTTTTAGTTTCACCTTGAAAGTCCCTTGTACTAGATAGTGGTCTGAACCCACATCTGCTCCTCTCCTTGACCTTGTGTCCAGTAGGCTCCGTCTCCACTTTCTTGAAATTGAGATGAAGTCTATTTGGTTCTTGGTGTTTCCATCTGGTGAAATCCATGTCGTCTTGTGTATATCCTTGTGTTTGAACACACTACCACCAATCACCAAATCATTGAAGGCGCAGAAGTCTGAGAAGAGTTCACCATTGTCGTTCATTTCACCGAGGGCCTCACGACCCATGGTGAGTTCTCTTCCTGTGTTGTCTCCTCCCAGCTTCGCATTCATGTCGCCCATCAGGATTTTGATATCGCCATTTGGGACGTTGTCCATTATTGCTTGTAGTTGTCTGTAGAACGCCTCCTTCTTCTCTTGTTCTGAGACGTTTGTAGGCGCATAGCATTGAATGACTGTAACTTTCCTTCCTTTTGAGTTGAACCTGGCTGTCATTATCCTGGAGGAGATTGGTTCCCACTGCATGAGAGCTTTGGTTGCTGTTGGTGACATCATGATGGCCACTCCCTCGGTGTGCTCATGGTTGTCCTCTGGGTGGCCGGAAAAGATTACTGTCTCTCCAGTAGGTAGTTGGCACCTTCCAGTTCCGTTCCATCTGCTTTCGCAGATTCCCAACACTTCTATTCTGTACCTTCTCATTTCAGCGGCTATCTGGGCAGCCTTTCCAGTTTCGTACATTGTACGAACATTCCAGGTACCCATCCTTACTTTTGCTTTCATCGAAAGAAGGCACATCGGCTGACTGGCTTCCCGAAGGCTTTCACCAGCCTGCGTCATTTCACTTCCCCGATTCCAGCGAAAAGTAAGGCTATTGCTTATGTTTTTAGAATTTTTAATATATTTATTCGTTGAAGTTTCTGTAGCGATTTGGTTGTTTTACAGGGGTGGAGTTGCTAGCACCACGCCCCAACCCTCCCTCTTTACCCGGGATAAGGACTGTATTGGATACTTCGATTAGACAATAGGTAGTAACCAGTGTTATGGTGGCCAGATTGCAAAATTGTTTCATAGAATTCAGTCTGCACCAAACAAAGGACTGGACACATGATAGTAGTTACTTACTGCCTAGTATTCAATCGAGATCTCTAATAGCCCAGTGGTGGCGTCTCTGACTGCAGCACCAGGTGAATCTCAGAAGTGACATGAGTTCCGTCGACATTTCGGATAGGCCTTGGTGATTGATAAGTGTCATGAAGCGCAAAACCTAGGTGAAGCTGGGCTCCAGCCGTCTAAAAGCAATAATTCAGAGTACATCGTGATGTTGAGCCACCTAGCATGGTGGTCACATTGTAAACTTGACTGACATGATTTGATGTTGAATTTATTAGCAGTGAAATTGAGTAATTTTTCAGATTGTTAGTATACCAATAAATAAAAGTACTCTTCTCCTCCTTTCCTCTTTTTATCTCAAGTTAGCTTATGACGCTGTACATAGTGAACGAGTTGCCACCTATGAACCATGCAGTACATCAACTTTTAAACATGGTCGCACTGAAACAATTCGTTCAGCTACTGTAGAAACAAGTAAATTTATAGATCTTATGCATAGGCATAAGAGATCTTTATCCTCTTCACCTGATACGCCTATCGTGTCAAATGATATCGTCTCTTCAGATTTGTATGCCTGCCTTCAAGCTTGTTCAACTAAACATTCCAATTGATTAAAGAAGCTGCTGTTGGTCAAGGTAAGTTGTATGATTATCACATACGTTTGTTTTTGACACGTGTACAACAAGTACCAGTCACTATCAACGGAGGAAATATAAAGGTAGTTCCCTCTTTCCCTTACCCCACCAGCATCATGTCAACTACAGGCGACACGGATGAAGATCCGAACAGTGAGACATTCGTTCGTTACTCTGAAATCGGTGTGGAGATCTGCAGTAAGCAACACATGGGTCAAGATCCGAATTTCCAACATTGATGTCATGTCAGTCAGTGTTTCTATGTGGTTCAGAGACTTGGTGAGTGTGCCGCAAAATGCATTTCGAGTAGAATGCACACTTTCATTAATAGCTGGCTTCGCTGTCTCAATACTGAAGATCAAACGACTAGCTGGAAAGGATAAGTCAACTAACTAGCCAAGAACCCGTAGCCCATCAAATATGGATTGAACATACGCTGAGAAAATCGATGATTGGAATCACGCGTCAAGTTGCTGGATGCAACCTCTATGTGAAAAGATGACTTGGGTGTTGGTCTGAGGGTAACATACAGGAGATCGTGTGATGAGAAAATAAAAAGTTGTGGTTGATCGTTGAGTTAGCTTAAAAGGACTACGGAGATTAGGATGCAATGGTGGGGGGAAGGGATGTGCTGCTGAGGCCCTATGTCCCATTTGGAATTTAAGAAAGTAGTAAATTAACAGGCACACACACATGTACACTATTTTTACACATATGGCTTTAACAGGGCAGGAACAACGAGTGGGAGAAGATGACATGAGCTCATCGTTTCTTTTTTCTTTCTTTAACTCTTTTCTGCAGTGCACAAACTGAAACAGTTACAATATCAGTATGCAAAATTGTCCTCGCACTTAATCATTTAGTTAGAAGATGGCAACGTAAGTGAATATAACTCGGGATAAAAGAGAAGAACTACCGTTTTCAGTGAATTTGTTGATATACATAGAAAAGTTATGGGGATATTCTAATAATAATAATAATAATAATAATTTTTGCTTTATTCCAAAAACAATACTAATGATACAGCAAGGAATTTTCAGCATTCAGTACATGTTGCATCTAATTTACTCAAAAACGACAAAAAAATAAACATTACATAATAATAATAACAACAAAACGTTGTTATAGCAACTATGTAGCGAATTACAGTATGCGAAACGGAGAAAAATATGCATAAAGTATAAAATTACAGTGATAATAGTAATAACAACTCAAATAAAATAGCAAAGTTATAATAAAACGATAGAAAAGGTGACACCACAAAATTACAGAAAGATGAACAATGAAAGGGTCGATTCATTTTGCTAATTACATAGTAACTTATATGTTTCACGTCTAACAGTGTCTCCACCACATAAAATACGGGCTAAATACGGTATTTTAGAATTTTTGTACTTAGTGGTTCGAGCATATAACTTCTTATATTGACTTCTCATCCTACCTGATGAGATGCAAGGGTATAGTTATGAATAAACGGGGTGCAGAGGGTCTGATAGTACGGCCTTTGCCCATTTAATACAGGAATTTATGTGTCTCTCGACTATAGTATTAGCGAGCTCATGCAGTGGAAGACCACAAGCTCTACTCACAGCATTTAATACTCTTCGTAATATGATCTAATCTTTCTTGAGAAGCCCAGGAAAGATTAATGGAGAGCAATAGAGTACAATAGGTAAAATACAGGAGTTTAGAAATTGCAAAACTAAAGGTTGGTTGATACCTGATTGTCTTAACTTTTTAATGTAGAAGGTAAGACGAAACATTTTCCCAGAGATAGATAAGATGTGGGATGACCATGAAAGGTGAGAGGAAAGAACTAATCCAAGGTATTTAATGACTGACTTGATTTTAATTTCAGTGCCATCTATGCTACATGCATCATGGGAACTAACTAGGTCATGTATGCCAGGAACGGAAGTTAGGCATAAATTACGTGTGTAAAAGAAATAATAATAAAGTAAATAGTACATATTACATCTAGCGCTTACAGCCGGATTAGTATATATGCTGGTCTACCTAGGTTGGGGGGAGGCTAAAAAACCCTGATTGCAAACTTGGGGTGTACATGGTCACCACTCTCCCAACGAACTGAATGATTTGTGGACCTGTTTTGATTACCTCCAACCATGGGAACGTAGCTTCTGACTCAGTCCCACTTCCTTGTGAATCGAACTTCAAGTTAAAGGCCCGGGGAGGGGTGGTCCCTTGAAACAAGCACCTGCTTCAATCTGGGCTTCTGGACAGTATCCCAGCCCCCGCAAAAACTATGAGATTGTGTATGATGCACCTCATGTTGTCTATAATGTACCAAGTTTATGTTTTGATAAAATATAGAAATAACATGCTACGCAAAATCTCTAAGTTTTGATGGTTTCAGGTGATTATAATAACAATGAGTTGAGTAGTTGTCAAATGTTCAAGTGAACACTATGAATGAAGACAACAAATAAATTAAGGGGTATGAAATGATATTGTCAACACTGACTGCAGTAACAGAACTGAGAAAAACCCCAGAGAAAAAAGCAGAAATTTTCTCACCGTGGTAGGGAAAGACTGACAATCCTTTCTTTGTGAATGTCTAAGATGGGTTGTAGCCGTTTAATCGCCACTACTTCTATGATCTACCGACGAGTTCCAAAACTAGGACAAAATACCTGCCAGTACTCCTTGGTCTTCAATGGTTCCTTAAATGATATCAACCCGCGGTCAAACATGACAAATCAAATTCCTACAAGTTAACACTTGAAAATCAGTCTGATGCTCGCTAGTGATTGGCCACTGGATGAAATTGCCTGAAGTTCTAGTGAGAAATATTGACAAGTGGGGGTTCCACCCGATAGAGAGTGAGAACAATTGCTCGCTGATGACACTTGCTAGTAGTCGAGCTCACATTACGAATTCATGGATTGGTCATTGGATCGGGTCCTAGTGGTTGGATGGCCTACAACATCCACTTGATTTGAAAATTTTTCCTTATATCTCTTCGGGTAAAACCAGAAAAGACTTCGTAAGAATTTATGCTCGTACAGCTAAATATAAAAATCCTACCGTACCAGTGTTTAGCACGGGTTTTTAGATGTCAGAAAAGAACTTGTAAACTTTTTAAATCAGTGACTGAACTCCAAGTATAAACAGAGATTATTATTATTATTGTCATTACTATTCCATGCATTATTTATGATACTATCTACTTATGCTTCATTATATTTCCACCAACATTCAGTTTTCCGTGGTCTTATTGTTTTTTCTTAAATTTTGTATGTACGTATTTACAAAAGGAGCTAAATTGTTGCAATATGCAAGTATGGTATGTGCTTTGCGCTGTCTAAGTGCAAAGTACTGTTAGAAGGTTGGCAAGAGCCTGTACCTGCACTCACTCTTCCGGGTGAACCACCTGAAGTTGTTGATAAGTTTGTGTATCTGGGTAGTTGTGTGAGTGCTGGGGAAGGGGTGACGGATGAGATTTCCAACCGTATAATGAAGTCTAGGGTGGCATACATCAACTTCAGCCACCTCTTGCGCCGTCGCGACGTTAGCCTGGCTGTCAAAGGTCGGGTATACAATGCTTCGGTGCGGGCTGTCTTGCTCTACACCTGCGAAACCTGGCGTATCCGAGCTAGTGATGTGAGGCGGCTCTGCGTGTTCAATCATCGCTGCCTCCGCAGCGTTCGATGGCATCAACACGTGAGTAATTCTGAGGTTCGGCGGCGTGTGTTTGAACACAGTGGAGATCACCATTCATTGAGTGTTGTCATCTGGAAACACCGGCTCCGGTGGCTTGAACATGTGCTGCGAATGTTATATCAGAGGTCTCCGTACAGGTCTCTGTTCGCTAGTCCTGGGACGGGATGGAAAAGGCGGAGGGGTGGTCAGTGCATGTCGTGGCTTCGTGGGATGAAGGATGTTTGTGCTAGATTAGCATCGTTGGTGCGTCACGACTCCCTGGTTGGAGTCCAAGAGATAGCTCGAATCAATGGCTCGAAACGTTATCAGATATGGCCAAGAATCGTAATCAATGGCGAACGTGTTGCAATTTCTTTCTTTCTTCCCTTCCCGATGATAGTTGACGTATACTGTTTGAACTTGTTAAGTATGACTGTTTTCCTTGTAGATGAAGTTCTTTATCCGTTCTCTACTTATATTTTTTTACTTTTGATCTATGTTGTTTTATTATTATTATGTGGCGCATCTTTCTTGGTGCCATATTGTACTAAGTTTTTTTCTGCGTTTAAATAAATAAATATGTATAGAAAGGCTACAAATTCCATTTTTTATAATTGTTATTGTCTGCAATAAAGTGATTATTATAATTTATAAATCTTGTCGGTAGCACACGTCACAACTCCATAAGTAGTTTGGGAGTTATAGCATTATAAAATATTCTGTAAAACTTAATAGTAGTTAGCCATCGCCTTTTATTACGAACAGACAGAAGTTAGGATTTACAGGTCGTTGAATTCCAACCCAATGATGGGGGTACTAGCTTCAAAACCTGTAGATGTAGGTTTCAACTTCTGACATTGTCATGGATGTATACTGCTGAGAAGTTCAAAACTTGAACGAAATAACTGTTCAGTCTTCTCCAGTTTCCAGTGTTTATCAAGACTGGGTCAGTTGGTGATGAAACTCGCATTAGACTTTATTTTCACCGTTTCGTTCTAATTCATTCATGCATTTTTTATCGTTATAACTGAAATGTAAAACTGATATTTTATTCAGAAACTATTTTTCCTCATCACTTTCAAGGTTGGGATAGACACTTGTATGCCTTACGTCAGCTTGCCTTGATTGATTCACACGGTCCACTGCCTAGTCTGTTTCTTGATCCCAGTTATGAAAAAATCAATCAATGTTTGATTTGTACAAGTTCATTGTCTACGCCTGGTCTTGCAATGGGTGCATTTGCAGCAGTCTGCCTAGATGGCTATGGTATAATGTATCATATAGAGGTAGGTATATTCATCTTGTAGTGATTGGTCACTACTTGTGTTCTTATCATTGTCTTTAATATCTTGGCTGGTTTTTTTACTGCTTTATTTCGGGTTCTATTCACATGGAATCCAGGATGTGGATTTCTTCATACGTGAGACTTGTCAGCCAGATGTACCTGCATCCTCAACGGGTGATGAATGATGTTTCCACTAAGACTGGAACACAGCATCAATCGTTTCAAAAGCCAAATCATTGTCTCCTGGGCCAAGAAGATCACTTCTTGTGCTAAGGGTTTAAGTATATATTTTGTTTAAGCGGATTCGTATTTCCCTTTGATTTTTTTATTCCTTCACGTTCCGGGTGGAACATAGGGCTTCAAGCTAGTGGCTTGAATTTTCGGTAGCAGTGGTGTTTATTTTTACGGGATGGGGTTGCTAGCCTCATGCCCAACCTTTCCTCTTTACCAGCTTTATTTCTGGCTTAGTGAGGTAAAGGAGTGCATCGGCAGGGGATCGAACCCGGACCATATGCATGGTCAGCGAGCGTCCTAACCGCTGTGCCACCGACGCATGAAAAACAGAGAGTATTGGACAGTCGTTTCATCCTAGTTTGGGAATCATCGGCAGCACGCACCCACTGGGGTTCGGACCCAGGACCCTCCGTTACAAGGCAAGCTCGTATACCATTCGGCCTTTGGGATCACCTTCTGATTGATTATATTGAACCGGAACGCTTGGTCAATGCTGAGGAGCTGACATGTCAACAGATACCGAGCATTTCGGTCCAGTATAATATCCATATTCTTCATTTTTCTTCTTTTGTTTATCTGTAATTTAAACAGCAGTTAGCAGTGTGATTCGGCATACACACTTAATTCAATTTAGGATTCCATCAGCTGGATTTGCATGTATCTCAGTGATTGGTGGTGACTGATGTTTCCGTTGAAAGCTGAGTGGGGTAATCGTTTTTCAAGAGGCTACATGTAATCCATTAGGCTGTTCGGTCACATTTCGTTTGATGTGTCAGCGTGTTGTTAGGCTATTTTCTGATTTTACCTTTATTGATTTGTGCAAGATTGATTTGGTCAGTATGTGTTGGAATGTAGGAATAATGGGCAATGGATTCAAGCCTCTCTGTGAGAAAATTTATAATCATTCAGAGAGAGTTTTCGACGAAAAGTAACTCATAATCTGAATTCCACTACTCACCAAAAAGACATAATTTCTTCCCTAATGACTAATCAACGCATCCATTGCAGACCTAAAACTGATCAGTGGTAATGTCTCTGACTACACCACTGGTTCATGTAAACTAGAATCTCAAAGGGAACATCAGTTCCTTCAAGACTTCTGGCATGCCTTGCTGACAAGTGCTAGTAAGCATGAAATAATATAAAATCAACATGGGATGGAATTCTTCACTTTCCAATGAGAACTCGTAACCAGTGGGATTGACTAAGTCGAGTATGAATAGTAAACACTTACTGTTGACTTTTGATGGCTGCGATTCCATATTATGAATCGAAAGAAGTTAGAATTTGACGGATTATTGGATTTCTACCTGATGGTAGAATGATAGTGTGCTCATCTTATGTACCCAAAGTTCGTGCGTTCATTCCTTGGTATATCCATAGACACTTGCCCGCTAAATCCATGAACTGTTTGCAGACAACCGTCTAATGCTCTTGGTCTCCAGTAATTCTCTCCAAATACTATCGATTTGTGACGAAATTTACCTAGAAGTGAATTAAATGTTCACAAACTCAACACTTGGACTATGAATTACTTCCTTGATTATTTTGGTTCTTCTGCTAGTGTTAAAACACTGACAAGGGTCAGAGAACGCGAAACATTATCCAGTCTTATTGTGACGAACGAGCGTTAGTTTTTATTTCCGTTTTTCTATTCCTTTGCTCTCTGAATGGAACATAGCGCTTCAAGCTTTGAAGTTCCAATTATGGTTTGTTTTGTTTTTTACGGGGGAGGGGATTGCTGGCCTCAAGCTCAATGGGTTACTCAGGGAGATTTAAGAATACGTTGACCAGGAATAAAGCCTGGGTCTCCGGCGTGGTTCGCGAGGATTCTCCCATTCAACTACCGACGGACTTTACTTCTGTTTTATCCGTCCTGAATTCAGAATTAGTTGTAGGTAAGTCTTCTGTTGCGGAGTGCTAACGGATCTCAAACCAGCATGAAACAGTTGTCTAAAGCTGTTTGGCTGTTAATCATTCTTTAACTGATGTCAATTCTTGATGAGGTTTTCTTCTGCAGTCAATCCATTTTGTGTACACTATCCAAATGAATAAAAGTGAACACTCCAAGATTTATACATTTCCAATCATCTGTCAGTGTGTTTGTGGTGGAATGTTTGCTAGCTGCTTACGTGGTGCAGGTTCGATTCCCAACTGATGCACTCCTAAACTTTGTTTAGCTTGTAGTAAACCCAGAAAAGACCAGATGTTGAACTTGAATCGGGCAATCTTATCTCGTGAAAATGAAACACCATCGCTACCAAAACTTCAGTGCTCAAGCTGGTAGCCTTATTTTCCGATCGGAATGTGAAGGAATCAAGAAGAATGAAGAATCAACTTTGCAAGTGCATAATCGTTGTGGTAGGCGTTATTTTTGTTTTCCAGTGTAACAACAGAAGACAAGGGCCAGGCAACAGATCGTTTTATTATGAAAATCAACACGTATTTATACATATTTCAACTACATTATTATAGACAAGCGCAGTCATCTGATTGGTTGTTTATCAGAAGTTAGGTAGACAAACGCAGGCTTCTGATTGGTTGTTGACTCAGCCTTGTTGACATTTTCTCACGGCCCATATTGATGACCTTGACCTTAACGTAGATTAGTGCCAACCAATCGGCTAGCAGCCTGCTCTCACCACACCAGTTATTCCAAGTTTTTCTTCTTCCTTCTGCCTGTTAAATATCGTCTACTTCCCCTCTATATTACAGGATGATTATTGTAGTATGCAGGTAACTTCATGGTCTGATTCACCTAAATCCAATGCTGTTCAATTCAAAGATGCATTCGTCGACAGTGTAAATTATATTACTGAATTGATTAAAAAGTCTTCAGATAATCGATGAAGAGAAATGCACAGTTACACAACAGTTCATGTATTTGCATGTGTGGTTCATCCCATCGGCCTGGGAGGCGAGAGGGAGAGGGTTGACAGCGGTAGCAATATTCTTTGTATATAAAGATATGCCATGAATGATTTTAAATAGTTTATTATTTACTCTCTAGGTTTTAGTTTTTATTAACTGCGAATGTTTCGATATCAATCTGGTTATCAAAACCAATGCAACTTTGTGTAAACTGAGATTTCTCTTTCGTAATCAACTGTTTCTGGATTTCTATTTTACTAGTAAACAAGTTGATTGTCTTTCGCATTTCGGTTTTTAGTTCTTTGATAGATAATAAATGACTGACAATACATTTTGTTATGATCTGATGTGTTTAAACATTGGATACCCTTACAAATTGTGATTTGTACAGAAGACTTTGTTTTCTTTTAGCGCGCCAAGTTAAAAATAACCATGGATCTAAAAGAAATCGGGGAATTTCAAATTATAGTCACTGTTAAAATCTTACGATAGTTTATTTTGCTAACTGAAATTTCCTCCGTGAACTTCTTCATTGTAGGCATGATAAAGTTTGCTGTACAGATGACTGGTTGACTATGTAGTAGTTGAGGAACAGTCATTGACAGTCGTTACTGATACTTGCTAGGCATTTTGAGGTGATGTAAACACGAAGTGATCGTTTCACTGGATTAGAGTCAGATATATCAGTAGTATGGCTCAATTTATTCAGGTCAGAAGGACAAATTAGTTCAAGGATGGATTCTATATATGTTCTTGAAATCATGGTCAGGGTTGACCGAGTGACAGAAGTCGATCAGGTGTTCCAGAATATAGCTTCGCATACACTTCCTTTCTGCCTTGTAAAACCAAGCTGGAATATGTTCTCGTATCCGTGTGGAAAGCGTCCTCTGACTACGGCCAATGTACCTTGCTCCACAAGAGCAGGTGAACTGACAGATGCACATGGAGGCGGCCAGATGGGGCAGCTTACCTTTTACAGAGGTAGAGAACAATTTGCGGCTCGTGAACGTCATATGTAATTTTTCTGCAAAGAACGTCTTACTGACTGACTTAGAGGAACGATTTTTGAGCATATCTGAAGCTTGAATTTCAAGTTCATGAATAAGGTTCTCTTTGGAACTGAGTCGGTGACCAGTTTAGCCTGCTTATCTTTCATGTTTTTACAGCTTGATAATAAATTCGTTGAAAAGAGTCTCTTCGCTGAATATTGTGTTCTTAATGGTACAATTGGGAATTATTAAATAAATACAAAAATCTGTTTAAACCAGCTGCATTTTTCTACCCTATGTAATCTGGTTATAGTTAAATCACGAGTGTTACGATTATGTATTTCACAGTAAACATTATTACATTTTGGGATGTGAGTGCATCTACTCGAATTTCACCTGAAAGATTCCAGTGACTACATCTTCACAGATCTCCATCTTCATATTGAATGATTAATGTTTTGGATTCACTGCTATCCGTTGTTTACTATGCAATGCGGTGTCATTCAGGTTAATTAAAAGTAACTGATGACTAGGGAACACTCGACGTCTTCTGTAAAAAGATGTTTAAGAGTCTTATCTTGAAGATGTCAGCGGTCGACGTGATTATCCCTTCTTCTGTCGCATCCGGTTTTCATACACATGCAATTTGTTTTTCCTGTAAGCTCTACATTAAGAAATGGAATTCCGGATCTGTTTTATTCAGTGTAGGCGTGAATTGCGTCGCCCGATGCTGACTACCAAATACATAAAGCATTTGATTCAAGTCACACTCATCATTCCTGTCAATTCGATCCCCAATGGAGTCATGGGTACACAAATAAGGAGGAAACAGCTGTCCAATACACTCTGGTTTTCAGGGTGGCTATCTTACCGATATCAGGTTATAGTTCAACTTGAAATCAACAAAGCTCCTGTAAACTAACACTTCATAAATTGATCTAATGGCCACTAGATACTGACTATAAGGTTAGGTTGCCTGAAGTTCTAATGAGAAGTCGTGACCTATGCGGTCCACCAGGTCGGGTGTGAAGGACAGATGCTGGTCAATGACTTTGGCTGGCAGCAGAAGCTTGAATACATAGACCAGTGGCTGAATTGTCGGCGTTCTCGCCTTGTAACTCAAAGTCCCTTAAATCGATCCCTTGTGGGATGCTAGGTACGTAGCTCTGAAGAGTCGTAGACTAAGACGAAACATTCGTTTAATAGTACTTATTTTTCAATTGTTTCCTAACTGATATCAGCTGAGGATCACTTTTGAAAGAACAAAAGTTCTCATATCGTTAACTTCTGATAACCATGAAAAGAGCTGCAAGTAGTGTACCGAGGAAAACTCCCTGGTGACTCCATCCTTCTATCTGTAAATAGGTTCACTGAATGTTAGTTGTACATAACGTGTATGCCTTAGAAGTAATTGCTTTGAAACAAGTTGAGAATCAGATGAAACTGCAGAGTTTCTGTGCTTATTTTCTGTAAACCATAAAGCTATAGAAACCTTTTGATTGTTGATGAAGTTTTTTTCCCATTTCTGGAAATTTCCAAGTATTGGCTCAATGGTCTACGAGCTCGCCTTGTAACCAGAAGGTCCTGGGTTCGAATCCCGGTGGGTGCGTACTGTTGAGGAGTCCCAAACTAGGACGAAACGGCTGTCCAGTACTCCCAGGTTTTCCAGTGGTTCTCTAACTGATGTCAGCTCATGATTAAATCCTCCATTTCTGGAAATATTTATTCGTTCAGTCTCGAAACAGTTAGGAAATATCTTATCAAATTCTTTCCTTTTATATTTTCGAATTCAACAAATATATACTAGATATGAATGTTTTTTGCTAACGTGTATAACCTCTTTCTGTTGAACTATTTTTTGACCAATGTCCTACCAATGGAGCCTATTTTGTTCTGGATCCAAGTATATTTTAAGGCGAATCAGTTATGATACAGTGTATAGTACTCATGGGACCGAATAACAGCAGTGTATGACTAAACGTAGGTAGTACTATATTATTATTTCCTTGAATTCCGAGTTGATCATATAACTTCAGCAGTACATCCCCAACTCACTGTGTTCTTCCCAGTCTCTTTTAGCCAGCTCCATGACTCCCCATAAGCTTTGATTTTCAACTCAAGTAAACTCTGTGTCACTGTTGGACACACTCGACTCATCGCTTCTCATCTGGGTTCCATCTGAGAGCTTGGCATGTAGTATCATTCAATGTATGTCTAGTCCACCTCACCCTGCATATTTCCTGGGCAATGGGTTCTTCGTTGGTTCGTGTTCAGAGTTCCTTATCACTTGTTTACCTTTTCTGGTTATCGATTCCGTCTTGAGTATCGGGTAAAGGCAGCTGTTCATATAAGTTTGAAGACTGTTCAAAATACTTTTCGTGACTCACACACCAAGTTTCTGAGCCACACAAAAGAACTCACATGGCATTAGTGTTAAAAGTTCTGATCTTGTTCATTGTGCTGGTTACTGTAGATTTCCACACCGACTTCAAATTAATGAAAGTTTGTCTTGCTTTTCTGAGTATGGTTGGCTTCGACATCCTCATCAATGCCTCCTGTTGTTGAAACGATGCTGTTGAGATCAGTGTGTGAAATAGACAACTTCCATTGGTGGTGATCGATACTTGTTGGTGGTTAAGCAACTTCATCACCTCCATATTTTCTACGTTCATCTGAAGTTCTGTCTCTGCTGTTTCTCTTGTAAACCTGTTGGTTTTTGTCTGTAGATCTTTGAATGTGTGGGACATTGGACATAAATCATCTGCGAAGTCCAGATTGTCTAGAGCCTTGTAACTGGTCGAGCGTATGCCCGTCTTCCCTTTCCCCACAGTCTGTTGTATGATCCAATCGATCGCTGATGATTGAATATTCTAGGGTGATTTGGGAGGGTAGAGGTTGAAAAGTATAGATAGACTTCTTACAAACGGAATCGATTATTTTTTCCGCAGGAGTTCTGGTGTGTGTATGATAGCAGATACTAGCCACTGACAGGTAACTGAGGTGGCGCTGCATTGCGAATTGACAGAAGTTGCAATTCGTGGATTATTGGATTCTATCGCAGTAGTTGATTGCCCAACAGGCTCGCCTCGTGACCTGAAGGTGGGATGTTAGGCCTCTGGTGGGAACATGTCTGCGGAAGAGTCTTTGACAAGCACAAAATAGAGGTATCCAATACTTTGTGTTCTCAATGGTTCATTACCTGATGTCACCTTGTATTGAAGTCGACTTTGAAATCGTAACAATAATAAATGAAAACTGTTACGATGTAGAATACTTGCCAGCCACTCGAGATATCAGGGTTCTGTTCCCAGCTAAAACAATCCTTAATATCTAATTTGGATCTTGGAAAGATGTATGTTTGGGCGTGATCTTAGGAACCTTACCTCATTGAGAAAAATAATAACAGTGCTACGGAAATTTCAGCAACTTGAGACCGCATACTTCAATCTGAACGGAACGGAATGAAAAGAGTTGGCCTAATTAAGGATCCACAGTTTTCTAATTCTGCTTTCTTCCTTGTCAATTTAATTATCAGTCCAAAGAGTATCGTTTGTATTTAAGCTCTGAATATATATATATATATATATATATATAGGAATCAGAAGCGTCTTTGTTTGAATTCCGTTACAAATCAAGTTAAAGTTTCTTTTTCTAAGGTAATTATTTATTTAAAACTATTAAATAAACAATGTTGACGGCTTTATTTTCACTGTTTTCACTGTAGTTATATTCGTCGTGAAATAGTCACAGCAGGAATATATAGATCCAGTCTGACCCAACCGAAAGCTGCTACCTTGACGTGATGGTTGGGCTTGAACACCACAATGTCCCAACAAGCTATACTGGCTGAGACTTATGTCTCTTGAGGTCCTACCATGCCAGGCAGGTTGTTTGGATAGCGGTTAAACGAAAAGCAGCTACCCGATCCAACATCATGATACAAACAAAATCAAAAAATTTCATGCCGGATCGACCGTGGCCCGGATTAACAACGACCGCGCTTCCTGCTGCCGTGTCACAGTTCAGGAGTGATAAATATGCTACTGAGACACCAAACAATAAAAAACGAACAAAAACAGGCCGCGTGTGACCGGCCTCAAGCAGTTGTCCCCTGGGCTCTGCGGTCACGCAACCAACTTCCACGGTGTGGGCAGCCGGGAAGTAACAATCGCCCTCACAATCCGACATGCACACGAAACCTCTCTAATACTCACTCATCTTTGTCTTCATCTTCATCTCTATTATCTTGCCTTCCTTCCACTGATGCAACTCCTCTACTTGATAGCTCTCACTCCCTCTTCACTCTGTGTCCACTAAAAATGACGGAAGCCAAACAGCCACTACCGATAGTCTATTAAAGCCACGCCACCAA